AATAATTACTGTAACTAAATACCAGTACTGAAAAGTAAGTAAGTGAATACAAATTTATCCTATCAATAAATGTACAGCACTGTATAGTAAAAAAAAAAATTTAAGTTTTATCGCACCATCGTGAAGTCAAAGTATCATAAGCTGAATCATCATAAAGTGAGGAGCATCTGTAATATGAGTTCAGCTATTTTTTAGTATATTGCCTATTTTTTTTTTTTTTTTAACAAACCAGCTGTCTCTCATCAAGGTAGGGTGATCCAAAAAAAAAAGACACTTTCACCATCATTCACTCCATCACTGTCTTCCCAGAGAGGCACTGATACTCCAGTTCAAAACTAGAAATATTCACACCCCTCCTTCAGAGTGCAGCCACTATACTTCCCACCTCCTGGACTCAAGTCCCGCTAACCAGTTTTTCTAAATCCCTTAATGCATGTTACCTTGCTCACACTCCAATAGTACAGTGGAACCTCAAATTTCGAACATATCGCTTATCGAACTCTTCGAAAATCGACCACTTTTTTCGAACCAACTTTGTCCCTATTATCAAACTCGCCCCTTCTTTCGAACCACTGGGTACCAGACCTGTCTGCCAGCCCGCTCTGCCTGCGTTCCCGTGCAGGTGCCATGAGCTAGTCTGGCTTTGTTGATGCTTAAATGAACACTAATCTACGGTCTCATTCAAACAATTTATGATTAATTCATTGTGTTTAGTGCTTGTGGGACTGTGAAATAAGCTACCATGGACCCAAAGAAACTTGCTAGTGGTACCCCTGTGGTAAAGAGAGAAACACCATAGATGTGAAGAAGGAAATATTACAGAAGTATGAGAATGGTGTGCGACTTGTTGAGCTTGCCAGGATGTACGGGAAAAACAAGTCGACCATCGCTTCTATCCTGGCAAAGAAAGAACAAATCAAGGCAGCTGATGTTGCAAAAGGTGTTAATATGCTAACCAAAAAAAGACCACAGACAATCGATCAGGTTGAGAAATTGTTGCTGGCGTGGATCAAGGATAAAGAGATACCAAGTGATAGTGTTTCAGAGACAATTATTTGTACAAAGGCAAGGAAGTTGCATGCCAATCTGGTACAGAAAACTCCTGGAACCAGTGCTAATAGTGAATTTAAGGCCAGCAGAGGTTGGTTTGACAGATTTAAGAAGCGTAGTGGCATACACAATGTTGTAAAGCATGGTGAGGCAGCCAGTTCAGACAAACGGGAAGCTGAGAAGTTTGTACAGGAGTTTAAGGTGTACATAGACACTGAAAAATTTAAACCCCAACAAGTGTTCAATTGTGATGAAACAGGCATGTTTTGGAAGAAAATGCCAAAGAGGACCTACATTACTCAGGAGGAACAGGCACTGCCAAGACACAAGCCTATGAAAGACAGGCTAACTCTTTTATTCTGTGCTAACACTAGTGGTGATTTCAAAGTGAAGCCTTTACTTGTGTATCATTCAGAAAATCCCGGAGTGTTTAAGAAAAACAGTGTCGTCAAGAATAGACTGTGTGTGTTGTGCAAAGCAAATAATAAGGCATGGGTCACAAGGCAAATTTTCAAAGAGTGGGTCCATGAAGTGTTTGGCCCCAGTGTGAGAAAATATGTACCTCCTAAACAATAATTTGCCACTCAAGTGCCTCCTGTTAATGGATAATGCTCCTGCACATTCTCCAAACCTGGTAGACCTACTGTCTAGGGACTACAGGTTCATCACAGTGAAGTTCTTGCTTCCTAACACCACTCCTCTCCTCCAGTCCATGGACCAGCAGGTCATTTCTAACTTCAAAAAACTCTACACAAAAGCAGTGTTTGAAAAGCGCTTTCAAGTGACCACAGACGCTAGGTTGACCCTAAGAAAGTTCTGGAGGAATCATTTCAATATCCACAGCTCCATAAGCCTTGAAGGTAAGGCTTGGGAGGGAATGATTTGTAGGACTTTGAACTCTGCTTGGAGACAATTGTGGCCAGATTGTGTCCAAAAGAGGAATTTTGAAGGGTTTGAAGCTGACTCTGACCCTCTGCCTGTTGTGGACTCTATTGTGGCATTGGGGAACACCCTGGGGCTGGAGGTGAATGGTGAGGATGTGGAAGAGTTGGTGGAGGACCACAGGGAAGAGCTAACCACTGAAGAGGTGGAAGAGCTTCATCTGGAACAGTATCAGACCATAGCTCAGGAACTTGCTTCAGAGAAGTAGGAAGAGGGAGTGAATGAGGTGCCTTCTTCAAAGATTAAGGAGATTTGCACCAAGTTGAATGATGTTCAAATGTTTGTGGAGAAAGTACCACCCTAAGCAAGCTGAAACAAGCCATCTTTGCAACAAGTTCAGTGACAGAACCATGTCCCATTTTAGGGAAATCTTAATTAAAGAGGCACCAGAAACAGAGAACTGTGGACAGTTATTTTGTGAGACAGGAGTCCAGTGACTCTCAAGCTGGTCCTAGTGGCATTAAAAGACAGAGAAGGGAAGTAACCCCAGAGAGGGCTTTGATACCTAAGTCCTTATGGAGGGGGATTCCCCTTCCAAACACTAACCCCAACTCCATCTCTCCTCCCTATCTTCCAGATGCCATCACCAATCTTCAATAAAGGTAAGTAAAAATGTTATTTTATAAGTTTATTTAAATTTATTAATAATTGTACACTATATATTTATTGTGTGTATGTAAAACTATAATGTAATACTATCTATAAATTTTTTTTTTTTGTGAATATTTTTGGGTTTCTGGAGTGGATTATTTGTATTTCCATTATTTCTTATGGGAAATATTGCTTCGCCTTTCAAACTTTTCGACTTTAGAACTAGCTCCTGGAACGGATTAAGTTCGAAATTTGAGGTTCCACTGTATGTTGTTATAAAAACCACTTGCCTCCACTCACTTCTATTTAACATGCTTGCTAGATGTCTAAACACCTCACACACAATAAAAATAAATGGTATAAAATACCGACACAATGGAAACAAACACATGTGCAGTTTAATGTGATCCTTTATTGACAATGCTTCGCCCACACAGTGGGCTTTTTCAAGTCACAAACAGATCTACCTGGGGTGGAAGGTACGTGAGTATTTATAGTCAGGTTCAGAATGTTGAGGTCAGGTGGAGAATGCTGCATCTGGTGATCTACCGGGTGGGGTTATAGAGTCTAAAATCTTGGGTAGCTTGGAAGGGGTATTGGATAAGTTGTGAGCAGACCTTCTGCAGTGTTCTATGTTCTTATGTGGGATAGCGATGAAGAAGTTTCTTGGCAAGTGGATCAGCTTTGTTATAGAAGCCATTGTTCTGGTTGAAATTGTTGGTTATAGAGATAAGTGATGATTCCAGGATTCTTTGGTATTGAGTGTTGTCTTCTGTGGCGATAAGTCTTGAGTTTCTGTAGTTAATTAAATGGTTGTGTGAATTGCGATGTTGTACACAGGCATTCCTTGTATCGTCAGTCCTGCTTGCGTATTGGTGTTCTGAAATATGTGTTTGGAGCTCTCTTGATGTTTCGCCCACGTATAATTTGTTGCAGTCATTACAAGGGATTATGTATACCCCTGCAGAGGATGGAAGCTTGCCCTGTCTACTACTGGTGATGTCCTTGATGGTCATGGTTGTGGAGGTAGATACTTGGAATGAGGTATTGGAAAAGATGTTGGAAACATGTTTGGCAATGGAGTTGGTGGGGAGGACTATGTATCTCTTCTCGGCAGTGTCTTCTCTGGGTGTGTTGAAGATGTTTAATGCCTGCCATCTGCAGTCTCTGATGAAGTGACGAGGATAGTGGAATTTAGAAAATACTTGTTCAATTATAGTGCATTCTTCCCCAAGGAACTCATTGCTGCAGATTCTCTTTCAACAGACTTTTGGTCTACCCATGGGCTCGCCACTCAGTGCCATCCTGGTGAACTTATACATGGAACATCTGGAAGTCGAGCGTTTCTCCACCATTATTCCTTCGACTGTCACCTGGCTCCGTTATGTTGACGACATTCTCCTCATAACTCCCAGGCACTTCGACGTTCAAGCTCTCCAAGACAAGCTCAACCAGGTCGAGCCCTCAATCCAGTTCACACTTGAAGAAGAAGTCGACAACACTCTTCCTTTCCTTGATGTTCTTCTCTGCAAAGCTGACCATGAACTTCGTTTTAAAGTCTATCGAAAGCCAACCAACCAAAACGATCTTCTCCACTTCTACTCTCACCACAACACCAAAACTAAACGTGGTGTAATTATAGGCTTCTTCCTGCACGCACTCAGAATCTGCAGCAATGAGTTCCTTGAGGAAGAATGCACTATAATTGAACAAGTATTTTCTAAAGTCCACTATCCTCGTCACTTCATCAGAGACTGCAGACGGCAGGCATTAAACATCTTCAACACACCCAGAGAAGACACTGCCGAGAAGAGATACATAGTCCTCCCCACCAACTCCATTGCCAAACATGTTTCCAACATCTTTTCCGATACCTCATTCCAAGTATCTACCTCCACAACCACAACCATCAAGGACATCACCAGTAGTAGACAGGACAAGCTTCCATCCTCTGCAGGGGTATACATAATCCCTTGTAATGATTGCAACAAATTATACGTGGGCAAAACATCAAGAGAGCTCCAAACACGTATTTCAGAACACCAATACGCAAGCAGGACTGACGATACAAGGAATGCCTGTGTACAACATCGCAATTCACACAACCATTTAATTAACTACAGAAACTCAAGACTTATCGCCACAGAAGACAACACTCGATACTGAAGAATCCTGGAATCATCGCTTATCTCTATAACCAACATTTTCAACCAGAACAATGGCTTCTATAACATAGCTGAACCACTTGCCAAGAAACTTCTTCATCGCTATCCCACATAAGAACAGAACACTGCAGAAGGTCTGCTCACAACTTATCCAATACCCCTTCCAAGCTACCCAAGATTTTATACTCTATAACCCCACCCGGTAGATCATCAGATGCAGCATTCTCCACCTGACCTCAACCTTCTGAACCTGACTATAAATACTCACGTACCTTCCACCCCAGGTAGATCTGTTTGTGACTTGAAAAAGCCCACTGTGTGGGCGAAATGTTGTCAATAAAGGAACACATTAAACTGCATATGTGTTTATGTTTCCACCTCACACACACAAAACCTCCTTTACCCCTTCCCACTTACTCCAACCTTTCCTAGGATGAACCCCCATCCCACCTTCCCTCTACTACAGATTTATGTATATGCCCTCCAAGTCATCCTATTTTGTTTCATCCTCTCTAATACCTACAGATTCTCTGTATAATATTCACACCACACATTGCCCACAGACATGACATCTGCACTCCTCCAGTCTCCTTGCTGCAACATTCACAACCCATGCTACACACCCATATAAAAGAATTGGTACCACAATAATCTTATACATTTCCCTCTTTGTCTCCATGGATAACATTCTTTGTCTCCAGATGCCTCAGTGCACCACTCACCTTTATCCTCTAGTAAATTCTATGGCTCACCTCATTTTCCATAGACCCACCTGCTGCCTAATGTAGATATGTATTAATATTTTATTAATCTGAAAAAACCCAGAGGTGGCTCATCCTATTATGACAATTTCAATCATAATAATGATTTTTTTATAAATACATTCCCAAACCCTACACCAAAAGATAGCACATTGCTTCGCTGGACATATAGCATATAAAATATTAACAGTCTTTGTTTCTGTTTTGTACAGCTTAGTATTTTAAAAGATTTGATTTTAATTAAGCATTATCCTAGACTTCTTATAAATGAATATCATTTTTCTCCTTTATGAGCTCTCATGAACCTCGTTAGATGTTATTTTTCTGAAGTCTTTTAGGCACACTGAATAATTCTGAGACTTCTGTGTCACATGAAGTCTCATGTGTTTTACAAGACATGATTTTTGCAAAAAGTCTTTCAAACACTTTGAACATTTATATATCTTTCCTGCTGTATGAATATTCATATGTCTTAATAAGTGTGATTTTTCTGAGAAGTTTTTTTGGCATTCTGAACATTGATAAGGCTTCTCTCTAGTGTGAACCTTCATATGTTGCATCAGATGTGATTTTTGTTTAAACTCTTTAGGACACTCTGAACACTGATATGGTTTCTCTCCTGTGTGAAGTTTCAAGTGTTTGATTAAATTAGATTTTTGTGAAAAAACTTTTAGACACTCTGAACACTGATATGGCTTCTCTCCTGTATGGACTCGTCTATGTTTTAAAAGATTAGATTTTTCAGAGAAATATTTTAGACACTCTGTACACTGATATGGCCTCTCCTTTGTATGCACTTTCATATGTTGAATTAAATGCGATTTTCTTGAAAAGCTTTTAAGACATACTGAACAACGATAAGGTTTCTCTTCTAAAAGTCTCGTGGGTTCTACATGACTGGATTTTTGTGAAAAGTCTTCTACACTATCAGGACACTGATAATGTTTCTCTCCTGTGTGTACTCGCATATGTTTTAAGAGATTCGATTTATCCGAGAAGTCTTTCCGACATTCTGAACACTGATAAGGTTTCTCTTTTGTATGAACTCTCATATGTCGTATCAGATGTGATTTTTGTGAAAATTCTTTCTTGCACTCTGAACATTGATACGGTTTCTCTCCTCTATGCAGCTTCATATGTTTTACGAGGCTGGATTTTTGTGAAAAATCCTTCAGACACTCTGAACACTGATGTGGTTTGTCTCCAGTATGAACTTTCCTATGTTCTCTTAGATTGGATTTCCTTGAGAAGTCTTTTAGACACACTGAACATTTATAAGGCTTCTCTCCACTGTTGACTCTCATTTTGTCTTATTAGATATATTCTATTTAAAAAGTCTCTATGATGCTAAATGTTTGTGTGTATCTTCTGCACAAACTTCTTTTGTATTGTATTAGAGATGATTTTTGTTAAGTCTTTTCAATAAAGAGAATGCTAATATAAATATATTCTTCAGTCTCAATATACAAGTTTAATCAACAGCAATATTTAGGAATTTCTAAGAAACACACACTTGTAGTGTCAGATACAGCCTTATATTTGTTCCTCTAAGTATCAAAAATAATTCAGTCCATTCTAAGTTTTCTTGAGATTACTTATAGAAATATATTTTCAAAAGACTTTCACAATAATACTGCAGTTTCTCTTCTATTTGAAATCTTGCAAATAATTTGTAAGAATTATCTTCAATCTTTGAAACATTGAGAACTGCTGTAAAATTTCTAATTTATGAAATATTATTGCAATACAGAGATAAATATACCGAATAATAATCTTCAAAACAAAAATTTTTAAAATGTTCTTTCCAGAAACCTGCTGACATATTACCTAGAAAAATTAGTAATACACAAAGTTACACTCTGCACACTAGTAAGTTAATCTAAGTTTATATGTAACAATGGTTTAACACTGAACACAGTTGCTTTTTGCAGTGAGAAAACACAGGTAATGTAATGAATATTTTAAAAAACATGGAAATTAGATGTCTATAAATTACTGAATTTATGTATGCTCATCTTCTGTTGTCTAAATACCACAACTTTTTAAGTTCTCCTCAAAAATGTTTAAACTTTTTTCAAGTGCAGACCTTGATAAAAGTGCCACAATACACTGCATGATAATGGTGCTGAAAATCAGGAATAAATTACTGAGAAAATATAATTAAAGCATCTTTTCCAATTTGAGCAAGCTGATGCAGGAATATAACAGTAAGATGACTAGTATGAACATACTCTGATGCAGGAAAATTATGCACTTAATAAAAGACAATTCTCAAGTCGTAGACAATAAGACTTCTTGAAAGCATTGTATATTACAAACTTATAAACTGGTGTATGGCAAAGCTTAATCAGTTACTTTCTTGGAAGCATAACAAAGCTTAATCAATTATTTTCCTGGGAACATGACAAAGCTTAATCAATTATTTTCATGGAAGTATGACAAAGCTTAATCAATTATTTTCCTGGGAACATGACAAAGCTTAATCAATTATTTTCATGGAAGTATGACAAAGCTTAATCAATTATTTACATTACCACAACAAGCTTGATTTTCAAAAAAATGCCAAGTTAAATACATTATATTCAGGATGCTTGTACAATAAAATATTAGTTCACTACTAATTTCTTACAATAAATTTCCTATTTTTTATAAATGTGCACATTTTCTCTAAAATTTGGTAAACATTCACGCAATAGCTGTTGGTAGTGCAGAACTATATTATTCACTGCAATTAGTAAAAATAATAATTACAATATTTCACTGAACAAAGTTACGTTAATAAAATGTTGAGGTTGTGCATGTAGCAGCCAAGATGTTGAGGTTGTGCATGTAGCAGCCAGGATGTTGAGGTTGTGTATGTAGCAGCCAAGATGTTGAGGTTATGCATGTAGCACCCAGGATGCTGAGGTTGTGCATGTAGTAGCCAGAATGCTGAGGTTTTCCATGTAACAGCCAGGATGTTGAGGTTGTCCTTGTAGCAGCCAGGATGTTGAGGTTGCCCTTATAAGCCAGGATGTTGAAGTAAACCTTAAGATGCTAACTGTTGACACTCAACATGTAGTCTTTATGTATCTATTGCATTTCTGCCAGTTACATGGTAGTGGCACTCCTAGCATAACTCTTCCGGCACTTGGTTCAGCTGGAAGAGGAAACAATATGAGATTAGCAAGGGTTGATATTGGTTACAGCCAGTACGTAGTATCTTTAAGTTTTTGCTAAATTATTACTGCAAAAACACTCATCACATTTTCTAGTACATTAGAAAGCCTCACTGATAATACATATAAGAGAGACAGCAGGTCAGCACACAGACACAGTGATCAAAATATTACATTCTAGGATAATTACTCACTTTAGCAAAGGCAATTTTGCTAAAAAATTTCTTTGGGTTATGCAAATTAAAATACTATTTACAAATATTATTGAAATTCTTGTAGTAAAAATCCAGAACAAAAATGAAAAACTTGTAATTGTAAATGTACACATCAAATGGGGAGAAAAGAATCCGACAAAATGAACAATGACTACATAACATGCTATGGAAATGAAGTAAATGCCTATGAAAAATACAAAAAAAAAAAGCAATCATGCCATTCTGGGAATTTCAAATATAAGGAAATAACTCAATTTAGGTAGTAGGTTGGTAGACAGCAACCGCCCAGGGAGGTACTACCATCCTGCCAAGTGAGTGTAAAACGAAAGCCTGTAATTGTTTTACATGATGGTAGGATTGCTGGTATCCATTTTTCTGTCTCATAAACATGCAAGGTTTCAGGTACGTCTTGCTACTTCTACTTACACTTAGGTCACACTACACATACATATACAAGCATATATATACACACCCCTCTGAGTTTTCTTCTATTTTCTTACTAGTTCTTGTTCTTGTTTATTTCCTCTTACCTCCATGGGGAAGTGGAACAGAATTCTTCCTCCGTAAGCCATGCGTGTTGCAAGAGGCGACTAAAATGCCAGGAGCAAGGGGCTAGTAACCCCTTCCCCTGTATATATTACTAAATGTAAAAGGAGAAACTTTCCTTTTTCCTTTTGGGCCACCCCGCCTCGGTGGGATACGGCCGGTGTGTTGAAAGAAAGAAAGAACTCAATTAGCCAATTAGATTGAAACAGTCGATAAATAATCAGCCAAATACTTCCATTAAAACTGTATGAATAAGTGAAGGAAATACACCATTAATGCTAGACCCTGCATTCACTTGAAAAGAGGAAAAAAAATTAAATATTAACTAGTGTATCTAAATGCAAGTGATCATGTCTTTTGAGAACAAATTAAAAGTACTACATGTTGGTAAATATGACTAAAAGGGAGAAATAAATACAACACAGACAGGAGCAACTAGATTATAGGAATAAAAACATTATATTAATTTAAAGGAGTACAGTATTTTAAAAAGATTAACGAGAATAATAAATACTACAAAGAACAGACACACTAGATATGTACAGCCTCTCCTCCCTTAGCGATGTACTTGTTTACCGACAACTCATACTTACGACCAGCTCTCTGTACGCATACTTAAATAATATATATTACAGCTGATTTCCTTTATTCTGTTTATTACAATATAAAATACACTACTGTATAAACATTTAATAAAATACTATAAATTTTATAAATGGTGCAAAGGTGACATTAAAACAATATCAAAGATGGTCAACACAAACTCACTACCATATTACTTTTATTATTTTTGTGTTTCACCCTATAACTGTCCAAATGTAGATCTACGTTTGTACATGTAGCACTCCGAAAGTAGATCTACTTTTTTTACATAAGAATGTAAAATCAAACATCTACATTTAGAGTGCTATGCATATGAACGTAGATCTATGTTTGGACAATTTAAGAGTTACCTTTGTGTATTCCTGCTACCAGATTTGCTTATCTCACACTTATCAACTGCCTTAATTCTTTAATCACCACTCTACCTCATAGTTTCAGCTGTTATTAATCACCAGAAGATCACTTTATTACTTCCTTAAAAAAGTATACATACATACTTTTTTTTTAATATTTGTACTTCACCTTATCACTTCCTTATTTTACCATTTACAATTTTCTCAGTATCTGTTGTTACAGTTTTTTTTTTTAATATCTGTTGAAAATTTTTTTTTCAACAGATATTACCATTTAAAATTTATTAACCCTTTCAGGGTCCAAGGCCCAAATCTGGAGTCACGCACCAGTGTCCAAGAATTTAAAAAAAAAAAATTTGTTATTTTTTCTTATGAAATCGTAGAGAATCTTTTTGTGAAGGTAATAAAACAAAAAGTACGAAATTTGGTGGAAAATTGACGAAATTATGCTCTCGCAAATTTTGATGTGTCAGCGATATTTACGAATCGGCGATTTTGCCGACTTTGACTCCCATTTTAGGCCAATTACATTATTCCAATCAACCAAATTCTTAGCTATTTCACTAGTATTACTTCTATTCTATCGATTGAGCACAAGAAATCGCCAAGTCAACTGTTTCAACTATAAAATAAAGTGATCGGAAATTGTTAATTTGGCCAATTTAACACAAAGTTCAAAATATTCCAATTTCAAAATAGGGTCCAGAATGAACAATGTAGGCATTCCTGGCACTAAACTAACATTTCCTCTGTTCATTAGTTATGTTTTGAGGCTTTACAAATAAATTCCATTTTGATTTTTTATTCACATAATGAATTTTTCTTCACACCAAAAAATAGAAGATTTACTGTTATGCAATACTGTAATAATTGTATAAATATCATCACCATATTTGTGAATGTATATTAGACCCACCAGCTGACGTGTATTAGACGTGTGAGGTCGTTTGTTTACTCTTGAATATCGGCAAAAATTTAACATTTCTGCTACTTTGAGCTCAGTTTCAAGCCATTTCCAGTGCTAAAACCAATCAAAATCATCTCTATTTCTGTAATATGTCTTCCATTCTATCAAATGAGACCAAGAAATCGCAAATACAACTATAAAAAACATACGAAAAAACACTGCAAAGTTGCTGTTTTAATCGAAAAATCATGATTTAATTTTTTTTCTCTCATTATACACAGTGTGCTGCAGGATCTGTTTTATGTGGTGCACACATACCACATAGATGTATTCTCTCATATCTAGGCCCAAATGTACCACTCACAGTTTATCAGAGTGAGCTGAGCTCATGGCGTAGATCTACGGTTTGGACCCTGAACATAAAGCCGTAGATCTACGGGACGGACCCTGAAAGGGTTAATATCTCGTGTTTACCATTTTATTCTTGTATAACTACTAAAATTCACACAGCCTTCAATTTAGAACTGTGCATATTTTATTTTACAGTTTATCGTAAACAACTTATATTCGATTGTAGATAATGTAGCACTAGTCATAGACTGGTGATACATTATCTACAATCTTGTCATTATAGATTATAGCATTATAGCAGATGTTGCAGGTGTATGGTGTATGAGGTAGGTTACTGAAAGCAGTGAAGAGTTTTTACGAGGATAGTGAGGCTCAAGTTAGAGTATGTAGGAAAGAGGGAGATTATTTCCCAGTAAAAGTAGGCCTTAGACAAGGATGTGTGATGTCACAGTGGTTGTTTAATATATTTATAGATGGGGTTGTAAGAGAAGTAAATGCAAGGGTCTTGGCAAGAGGTGTGGAGTTAAAAGATAAAGAATCGCACAAGGTGGGAGTTGTCACAGTTGCTCTTTGCTGATGACACTGCTCTTGGGAGATTCTGAAGAGAAGTTGCAGAGGTTGGTGGATGAATTTGGTAGGGTATGTAAAAGAAGAAAATTAAAAGTGAATACAAGAAAGAGTAAGGTTATGAGGATAAAAAGATTAGGTAATGAAAGATTGGATATCAGATTGGAGGGAGAGTATGGAGGAGGTGAATGTATTCAGATATTTGGGAGTGGACGTGTCAGCGGATGGATCTATGAAAGATGAGGAGAATCATAGAACTGATGAGGGGAAAAGGGTGAGCGGTGCACTTAGGAGTCTGTGGAGACAAAGACTTTGTCCTTGGAGGCAAAGAGGGGAATGTATGAGAGTATAGTTTTACCAACGCTCTTATATGGGTGTGAAGCGTGGGTGATGAATGTTGCAGCGAGGAGAAGGCTGGAGGCAGTGATGCCATGTCTGAGGGCAATGTGTGGTGTGAATATAATGCAGAGAATTCGTAGTTTGGAAGTTAGGAGGAGGTGCGGGATTGCCAAAACTGTTGTCCAGAGGGCTGAGGAAGGGTTGTTGAGGTGGTTCGGACACGTAGAGAGAATGGAGCAAAACAGAATGACTTCAAGAGTGTATCAGTCTGTAGTGGAAGGAAGGCAGGGTAGGGGTCGGCCTAGGAAAGGTTGGAGGGAGGGGGTAAAGGAGGTTTTGTGTGCGAGGGGCTTGGACTTCCAGTGAGCATGCATGAGCGTGTTTGATAGGAGTGAATGGAGACAAATGGTTTTTAATACTTGACGCACTGTTGGAGTGTGAACAAAGTAACATTTATGAAGGGATTCAGGGAAACCAGCAGGCTGGACTTGAGCCCTGGAGATGGGAAGTACAGTGCCTGCACTCTGAAGGAGGGGTGTTAATGTTGCAGTTTAAAAACTGTAGTGGGTTTAGAAAGACACCAACTTGTCGGTATTTATTACCTAGGTTTATACCAAAAACTGTAGTGTAAAGCACCCTTCTGGCAAGACAGTGATGGAGTGAATGATGGTGAAAGTTTTTCTTTTTCGGGCCACCCTGCCTTGGTGGGAATCGGCCAGTGTGTTAATTAGTTAATTCTTTAGTTCATTATATTTATTAGTTTTTACACTCTACTTAACCAACATACATTAAGTACACACTTGTCAAAACATCCCCTTATTACAGATATCATTACTGTAACTCAACACAATATAAATAATTACTAGTTAACCTAAATGCTGAATGATCACATCAACCCATATCAAACTCTATATAATCTACTTTCCAATCAAAATTTAATGGAAAGTAACTTCCTCTATTACACAGCATCACAAGTCAGCACTGTCCTAAGTGAAAGTTAAGACACTTGTGCAACATCTGGTTACCTTTATTGTAGACGTTTTGCCATCCAGTGGCTTTATCAATACAGATTCTTGGACATAAGAAGAACTATATGCAAAAGATGATGTAATCAGTCCCTCAGCCTTGGAGGTGGTGTTTAGAGCACCATGGCTGTAGAGATTCTGAAGCAGAGGCAAGGAGACTGGCGCTTATATAGGCGTCAGTGAATAGGGACGTGTAGCTGACGAGGGCATAGTCACTGGTAGGCAGAATTCCCCAGTGGAAGTACGTCCTACCCAAATTGATGGGTTATTATGTCCAAGAATCTGTATTGATAAGCCACTGGATGGCAAAACATCTACAATAAAGATAACCAGATGTTGCACAAGTGTCTTAACTTTCATCTTGTCGGTATTGTATACCTGTCTTGCACAACTGTCCTAAGTAATGCCAGTAATATTACAGTACAAGGACACAAGTGCACCTAATGTGACATTTTATTGTGGCAACATTTTGCTCCCCAGGAGCTTTATCAAGCTGTTACAAACAATACATGGACACAGAGGGTATATATAGGTTCAAAGTGAGGTGCAATACTAGTGGTAGTAGTAGTAGCAGTAGTAACATAAGCTGTAAGAGTAGTAGTAATAAGATACGGTAGAACAATCAACTTGCACGAGTAAAAGCTTATAAAAGCTATGACTTGGGTAACATAAAAATAGGTTAGACAAATATTTCTGTTAGTGGGTGGATCTGAGAAGGTCTGTTCCTTCTCTGTTGTGTTCTTGTGTAGCAGAGAGTACATGATGGCAGGGGTTTACTGTTTTGAGGAGGATTTTTGCTAATACTTCAGAGATGATGAAGCTGCCTTTATTTTGCTTGTGTTAGAAACAGTGATTAATGATGATTCAAGGCATTTACGTCTGCGGAAATTTGGCTCTCTGATTACTAGTAGGGCATCGTTGAATTTCATGAGGTGATTGGTGGAATTCCGGTACTTTCCTATATCCTTTCTAAATCTAAATTTATCTAATTTGAATCCATTATTGTGGGTTCGCTCTTGGAGGGATATCCTCAAAACCTTATTTATATCCCCTTTGTTAATACCCATCTTCCACTTATATACTTCCATCATGTCTCCCCTCATTCTTTGTCTTACAAGTGAATGTAGTTTAAGAGTCTTCAATCTTTTTTCATATGGAAGATTTCTAATGCTATGTATTAATTCTGTCATTCTACAATGAGTGTTTTCTAATGAATTTATGTCTAATCTGTAATATGGAGACCAGAACTGAGCTGCATAATCTAGGTGATGCCTTACTAATGATGTATAAAGCTGCAGTATAACCTCTGCACTTCTGTTGCTTACACTTCTTGATATAAATCCCAGTAATCTGTTTGCCTTATTACTTATTGCTGTCTTAATTAAGTTTGCTGCATACCATAACCCCAAAGTCCTATTCACCATCTGTATGGCTAAGTTCTACATAATTTAACTTATAAGTGCTAGGGTTATGGACACTCCCGAGCTTCAGAACCTTGCATTTATATACATTGAACTGCATCTACCATTTTTCTGACCAGATATTGAGTTTGTCTAAATCCTCCTGATGTTGTAGTGGCCAGGCTTAGGCTTGGTTACAAGTACTTCTGGCAGTTTGGGAGACACACAGATGATGATCAAACCAAATGTAAATTATGTGATCAGGCATATGGTCACTGTCTTGAACACTATGTGCTTAATTGTCCACCTATTGAGGAATACAGAGACAGACAGTATAATAACCTGTGACATGTCAAGATATCTTATTAATGAAAATAAGATACCAGATATACTAAGCAAATTTCCTAAATTTGCTTGTAACAGATAAGTGAACTATAGATATGTAGATATAAATCTATATGTATTCCTGTTAACCCTTTGGGGCCTAGTTCCTGGGCCTTTTGTGTATCCATATGCTCTTGTGCTACCGTCCACAGGATGGATATGGGGTGCACAATAAACTAGCCACTTCAGTGGCAAAATCTCTTAAAAAATCTCTAAAAATCTGCTTCTTGTCCATGAGCCAAGACTTGATCCATGACAGCACTTTTCCCCCGATGCCATGAGCTGCCACTTTCTTTAACAGTCTTTGGTGTGGTACTCTATCAAAAGCCTTACTAAAGTCAAAATAAACAATATCAAATTCTTTATGGTGATCAACAGCCTCAAAAGCTTTACTGAAGAAGGTTCATAAATTAGTTAGACAGGAACGGCCTCTCGTGAATCCATCCTGAGTATCATTGATCAAATTATGCTTTTCAAGATGGCTTCTTATAATATCAGCTTTAACTGACTCTAGTAATCTGCCTACAATTGAGGTCAGGCTTATTGGTAACAACTTGTCCCTTGTTTAAAAATAGGAATTATATTAGCCATCTTCCACATATCAGACACTATACAGTGTAACCTCGTTTTTCGGCCATAATCCGTTCCAGAAGGTCGGCCTAAATTCCAAGCAATATTTCCCATAAGAATTAATGTAAATACAATTAATCCATTCCAGACACCCAAAATTATTCACAAAAAATACATTTTCAAAGATTAATTATAGATTTACAAACACAAAACAATGAGAACTAAATAAATAAATTAAGAACATTTAAATCCCTATTACATACCTTTATTGAAGACTCTTGTTGGCTTATGGAAGACAGGGAGGAGGAGAGAGGGAAGACTGATTATTGTTTGGAAGGGGAATCCACCTCCATAAGGACTTCAGGTATCAAAGCCCTCTCTGGGGTTATTTCCCTCCCTGCCTGCTACACTCCCTGCATGCCTGCTATACTCCCTACATTCCTTCCATACTCCCTGGTTTCCCTGCTACAATCCCTGCCTCCCTGCTACACTCCCTCCCTCAATGCTACACTCCCTGCCTCCCTTCCACACTGTTTCCCTGCTAGACTCCCTGCTACACTCCCTCCTCCCATGCTACACTCCCTGCATGCCTGCTACATTCCCTGCATGCCTGCTACACTTCCTGCATGCCTGCTACACTCCCTGCATGCCTGCTACACTTCCTGCATGCCTGCTACACTTCCTGCATGCCTGCTACACTTCCTGCATGCCTGCTATACTCCCTGCATGCCTGCTACACTCCCTGCATGCCTGCTACACTCCCTGCATGCCTGCTACACTCCCTGCATGCCTGCTACACTCCCTGCATGCCTGCTACACTCCCTGCATGCCTGCTACACTCCCTGCATGCCTGCTACACTCCCTGCATGCCTGCTACACTCCCTGCATGCCTGCTACACTCCCTGCATGCCTGCTACACTCCCTGCATGCCTGCTACACTCCCTGCATGCAATACTAACTTTCTTGATTTCTACTTTCTTTGCCAGGATGGAAGTGATTGTTGATTTGGATTTCCCATACATCCTGGCAAGTTCTAGCACTCGAACATCACTCTCATATTTTTCAATAACTTCTTTATTAAATTCCATTGTGTTTCTCACTTTCTTTACCAAAGGGATGGCACTCTGAACTTTCTTTGGGCCCATTGTGGCTTATTTCACAGTCGTACTTAATAAAGAAGCACAAAAACCAATGGATTTTACGGAAATGTTTGGATGAGTGCGTGGAGTATATGCTCAGTCACCGAGAGACACAGGGAGACTGTCTCACCTATACAGTGGCATCCCGGCGGGAGGCGGGCTGATGTATCTAATATGGCCAATATGCGGAGCAAAGTTTCTGCTGAAAAACTGGCCAAATACGAATCGATTGATAAACACAGCAGCCAAAAAACAAGGTTCCACTGTACCTGTTTGAAGAGATAAATTAAAAATATTAGTTAATGGTTCACAGAGTTCCATTCTGCATTCCTTAAGAACCACTGAAAAAAGCTCATCAGGATCTGGCGATTTATTTTGTTTCAGTTAGTCTACTTGTTTCATAACCATTTCGCTAGTGGCTGTGATATTACATAATTTATCTTCAGGCCCACTATAAAATTAATTACTGGGATATTGTTAGTGTCTTCCTGCATGAAAACTGAGAGAAAATAATTATTAATAATTGAGCACATTTCATTCTCCTTGTCGGTAAGATGCCCAGAGTTATTTTTAAGAGGACCTATCTTATCTCTAACTTTTATTCTATAAATCTGGAAAAAACCTTTTGGGTTATTTTTCAAATCTCTAGCAACTTTAATTTCGTGGTCCCATTAAGCTTTTCTTATTCCCTTTTCAACGTCGCTTTTAATGTCAATATATTGATTCATAAGATGACCCTCACCTCTTTAGATGTGCCTATAAATTCCTCTCTTCTGCCTTAAAAGATATTTGAGCCTATTATTCATCCATTTTGAGTCATTTCTATTCGATCTAATTTCTTTACACGGGATAAACATTCTTTGGGCAGCACGTATAGTGTTTAGAAAGCTGTCATATTGATAGCTCTCTTCGTTACCCAAGTCAATAGATGATAAGTTTTCTCTTAGCCCATTGTAATCTGCTAAGCAAAAATCTGGGACCATTACTGAGTTGTTCCTACTATCATACTTCCATTCAATGTTAAACATAACTGAATTATGGTCGCTTGTGCCGAGTTCCTCTGTAATTTCTAAATTATTAACAAGGGTTTCCTTGTTTGCCAGAACCAAGTCACCTTACATTTACAGAACCATAAATTAAAATATTAACCCCGAACTAAAACACTTTTTTGATAGTTGCAACAGGACCGATAGACAATACCAGACACAAAAATCTCTATGACATTCCTTGTGCCCAGTTAAATCTCTTCAAAAACTCAATGTACATAAAAGATCCAAAAATCTGGAACTCCCTGCCCAAAATCTCTAGAATCACAGACTCACCCACCATTTTCAAAGCAACCATTAAAAAACACCTCATCTCCCTAACACCCCCCCATCATCAGCTATGTGAAAACCACACATTCTTTTTCTGTATCATGACCACATCCAAAACAAAATAAACTTCTCTCTCAATACCTGTAATTCTCCCCATTTCAAATTCAAATTCAAAGTTTATTCTCTATAAAGATTACAATGTTGAATTTACAGAATTTGACACTTACACTCACCCAAATGACTGTAAAAATAAAATTCCTAATATAGTGGACCCTCGGCTAACGATGACTTTGGCTAGCGATAAAATTGGATAGCAGTGCGTTTTAGTGTAAAAATATTGGCTCGCCAACAATGAAAAATCTGGTTAAGAACAATCATCCCAAACGCATCTGCCTGGCCGTCCGGCCTGAGTGCGCCTCAGTTGCCCTGCCTTCAGCTAGTGTGCCATTGTTTGCAAGCCAGGGCGGACGGTTCCATGCATACATTCAATACATTTTGTATTATTCCATTGTTTTTAGGGCTTGTAGCTGCTAAATAAGCCACCATGAGCCCCAAGAAAGCTTCTAGTGCCAACCCTGTGGTAAAAAGGATGAAGTGTACAGTCGAATTGAAGAAAGAGATACTAATTGCAAAGCATGAAAGCTGAGTGCGTGGCTCCAAGCTGGCCCGGTTGTACAACAAACCCCAATCAACCATCGCTACTATCTTGGCCAACAGAAAGGTAATCAAAGAAGCTGTTGCTGCAAAAGGTGAAAATATGCTAACAAAACAGAGATCGCAAATCCTTAAAGATGTGGAGAGACTGTTATTGGTGTGGATCAACGACAAACAATTTTATTATTATTTTTTTTTTTATTATCACACCGGCCGATTCCCACCAAGGCAGGGTGGCCCGAAAAAGAAAAACTTTCACCATCATTCACTCCATCACTGTCTTGCCAGAAGGGTGCTTTACACTACAGTTTTTAAACTGCAACATTAACACCCCTCCTTCAGAGTGCAGGCACTGTACTTCCCATCTCCAGGACTCAAGTCCGGCCTGCCGGTTTCCCTGAATCCCTTCATAAATGTTACTTTGCTCACACTCCAACAGCACGTCAAGTATTAAAAACCATTTGTCTCCATTCACTCCTATCAAACACGCTCACGCATGCCTGCTGGAAGTCCAAGCCCCTCGCACACAAAACCTCCTTTACCCCCTCCCTCCAACCCTTCCTAGGCCCGACCCCTACCCCGCCTTCCTTCCACTACAGACTGATACACTCTTGAAGTCATTCTGTTTCGCTCCATTCTCTCTACATGTCCGAACCACCTCAACAACCCTTCCTCAGCCCTCTGGACAACAGTTTTGGTAATCCCGCACCTCCTCCTAACTTCCAAACTACGAATTCTCTGCTTATATTCACACCACACATTGCCCTCAGACATGACATCTCCACTGCCTCCAGCCTTCTCCTCGCTGCAACATTCATCACCCACGCTTCAAAACCCATATAAGAGCGTTGGTAAAACTATACTCTCATACATTCCCCTCTTTGCCTCCAAGGACAAAGTTCTTTGTCTCCACAGACTCCTAAGTGCACCACTCACTCTTTTTCCCTCATCAATTCTATGATTCACCTCATCTTTCATAGACCCATCCGCTGACACTCCACTCCCAAATATCTGAATACGTTCACCTCCTCCAACTCTCTCCCTCCAATCTGATATTCAATCTTTCATCACCTAATCTTTTTGTTATCCTCAAAACCCTTTAAACTCTTTCCTGTATTCACCTTTAATTTTCTTCTTTTGCACACCCTACCAAATTCATCCACCAATCTCTGCAACTTCTCTTTAGAATCTCCCAAGAGCACAGTGTCATCGGCAAAGAGCAGCTGTGACAACTCCCACTTGTGTGTGATTCTTTATCTTTTAACTCCACGCCTCTTGCCAAGACCCTCGCATTTACTTCTCTTACAACCCCATCTATAAATATATTAAACAACCACGGTGACATCACACATCCTTGTCTAAGGCCCACTTTTACTGGGAAGAAAAAATTTCCCTCTTTCCTACATACTCTAACTTGAGCCTCACTATCCTCGTAAAAACTCTTCACTGCTTTCAGTAACCTACCTCCTACACCATACACTTGCAACATCTGCCACATTGCCCCCCTATCCACCCTGTCATACGCCTTTTCCAAATCCATAAATGCCACAAAGACCTCTTTAGCCTTATCTAAATACTGTTCACTTATATGTTTCACTGTAAACACCTGGTCCACACACCCCCTACCTTTCCTAAAGCCTCCTTGTTCATCTGCTATCCTATTCTCCGTCTTACTCTTAATTCTTTCAATTATAACTCTACCATACACTTTACCAGGTACACTCAACAGACTTATCCCCCTATAATTTTTGCACTCTCTTTTATCCCCTTTGCCTTTATACAAAGGAACTATGCATGCTCTCTGCCAATCCCTAGGTACCTTACCCTCTTCCATACATTTATTAAATAATTGCACCAACCACTCCAAAACTATATCCCCACCTGCTTTTAACATTTCTATCTTTATCCCATCAATCCCGGCTGCCTTACCCCTTTCATTTTACCTACTGCCTCACGAACTTCCCCCACACTCACAACTGGCTCTTCCTCACTCCTACAAGATGTTATTCCTCCTTGCCCTATACACGAAATCACAGCTTCCCTATCTTCATCAACATTTAACAATTCCTCAAAATATTCCTTCCATCTTCCCAATACCTCTAACTCTCCATTTAATAACTCTCCTCTCCTATTTTAACTGACAAATCCATTTGTTCTCTAGGCTTTCTTAACTTGTTAATCTCACTCCAAAACTTTTTCTTATTTTCAACAAAATTTGTTGATAACATCTCACCCACTCTCTCATTTGCTCTCTTTTTACATTGCTTCACCACTCTCTTAACTTCTCTCTTTTTTCTCCATATACTCTTCCCTCCTTGCATCACTTCTACTTTGTAAAAACTTCTCATATGCTAACTTTTTCTCCCTTACTACTCTCTTTACATCATCATTCCACCAATCGCTCCTCTTCCCTCCTGCACCCACTTTCCTGTAACCACAAACTTCTGCTGAACACTCTAACACTACATTTTTAAACCTACCCCATACCTCTTCGACCCCATTGCCTATGCTCTCATTAGCCCATCTATCCTCCAATAGCTGTTTATATCTTACCCTAACTGCCTCCTCTTTAGTTTATAAACCTTCACCTCTCTCTTCCCTGATGCTTCTATTCTCCTTGTATCCCATCTACCTTTTACTCTCAGTATAGCTACAACTAGAAAGTGATCTGATATATCTGTGGCCCCTCTATAAACATGTACATCCTGAAGTCTACTCAACAGTCTTTTATCTACCAATACATAATCCAACAAACTACTGTCATTTCGCCCTACATCATATCGTGTATACTTATTTATCCTCTTTTTCTTAAAATATGTATTACCTATAACTAAACCCCTTTCTATACAAAGTTCAATCAAAGGGCTCCCATTATCATTTACACCTGGCACCCCAAACTTACCTACCACACCCTCTCTAAAAGTTTCTCCTACTTTAGCATTCAAGTCCCCTACCACAATTACTCTCTCACTTGGTTCAAAGGCTCCTATACATTCACTTAACATCTCCCAAAATCTCTCTCTCTCCTCTGCATTCCTCTCTTCTCCAGGTGCATACACGCTTATTATGACCCACTTCTCGCATCCAACCTTTACTTTAATCCACATAATTCTTGAATTTACACATTCATATTCTCTTTTCTCCTTCCATAACTGATCATTTAACATTACTGCTACCCCTTCCTTTGCTCTAACTCTCTCAGATACTCCAGATTTAATCCCATTTATTTCCCCCCACTGAAACTCTCCTACCCCCTTCAGCTTTGTTTCGCTTAGGGCCAGGACATCCAACTTCTTTTC